TATTTAGACTTCTAACTCTTTCATAAAATATAATATTAGAAAAGCAGAGAGCACATAATATGATAAGAGTCTACCTTATGGTATTTTGAGGGGAAACAAAGTCACTAGATTAAAATAACTTTAATAAATTAGAACTTTTTAATTAACATTTTTCTTAACATCACTTACCTTTGTAATCTTATTTTGACATGTCATATTAATGTGAAAATGTCTGAAATGTTTCAAAGTATAGTAAATAGATAATTTCAAAAAGATACAAATAAAACAGATGCAGAGGAGGAATGAAATGAATATTAATAAATAGATGTTATATGATATAGAAAACTCATTACAAGTTAAGGTGGAAGTAACTCCATTAACATTATGAGTGCATTCATTCTCTCTTGAATATTCAAGTATGAGTAAAGTAATAAGTCTGAAGTTATTTTATATTTAAATTATATTTATATAAATCTACATGTTGCTTGCCGTGTGTTTGTTTTCTATTGCTGTCATAACAAATTACCACAAATATAGTGCCTTAAAACAATGCAAATCTGTTAGCTCACAGTTCTGTAGCTCTGAAATCTGGGTACAACATAACTCGACTGGTTCCTCAGCTTGGAGTTTCTCTGGACTAAAATCAAGCCATCAGCCATTACAGTCACTCTGGGGAAGAATGTGTTTCGAAATTCTGTTTCATGCAGTTGATTTCCTCACTCTCTGTTGGACAGGGATCAGTTTTAATTTATAGCAGCCTAGCACATTTACAAATGCACCCCTTTGTCTTCAATTTTCTCTCATTTCTACTGCTCATATCCCCTGTCTTTCCTTCTGCCTCACTGCTCCGCTTAATGTCTTCCTCATTCTGCTTTCATTTTTATGAAATGTCCACATTGAACCAGACTGGATGATCAGGGGTGATTTCCTTATCTTAAAATCCACAACCTTAATTCTCTCTGTAAAATCTCTTTTGTCATATTCCCAGGTTCTAGAGATTAGAATGAGGACATATTTTCAGAGGAGAGAAATTGGTCTGCTTATCATGTATCCGAATTTTTCAGTTATGTTGGGAAATTGAACTATAACTAAGGCACTAAATGGGTTGACTACAATAGGGAAATAATTAAAAAAGAAAATTGTAAAGAAGATAAAACTCCGATTACCGGATTTTAATCTCACCAGTAGACAGAGTTTTAAAATGAATAGGTCATGCCTTTTTATTTTAGAGTTTAAATTGAAAACCATTTAGCCATCTCTGCAGTGGTCAAGGGATTGAAAATGAATAAGTTGCTGTTTATTATGTCCTGGTAGACCTATAGAAACTCACCCTTAGTCTATTGCAAAAGTAGATTTGTCCTAGGCCACTTAATTTAAAGGTAATAAAACTATTTGAAAGGACATAGCAGTTGTGATCATGACACATTCTCAAATGAAACAGATTATGTTTGATATATATGAAAAATTAAAACATGGGTCTAAAAGTGCTGTAAAAGAAATTTTCTCATTCTTTTCAGTAAGATCTGACATCAGCATATAGATGGCTTCATCAATTATTTAAAAAAAAAGACTAAGAAAGGAAAAATGACTGATTGGGATGCTTCATTTGGAATCTGAATTTGAAGCCTTGGGTTGAATGTACCTGTAGGTCTAAACCTTTCAAAATTAGCTCTCACTCTCTCACCAGCTCATCTATTTAAATATCTTGTTCAAAATAATATAAAGTACTTAAAACTTTTAACATACTCTGTCAACACAACGCATGTGCCAAACTTTAAAAGGAACTGCATATTTTAAACATTGATAGAATTAAGCAAAAGATCTCTGTAAAGATAAATTACAATTTTAGATGGTGCCAAAGGAATGTTTTTAAATTTAAAATATTATGTTCTCAAGGGTTAGGTTTTCATGAGTCAGAATAATTTTTGTCTTCATAACTGTGTCATTCCCTCCTGCATTCTAAAGTGCAGAAACGAAACACAATCCTCTCCTGCTTACCATGTCATATGCTGGTTTAATTTAGTCCTGGCAGGACAGGTTGTGGACACTTAATTGAGCTTAAAAATTGTTTCTAAAATATGGAAACAGAAATGATAATGAAAGCCTTTGTTCATTTTCAAGTCTTTAATTAACCCTGTGCTTTTGTGGACTAGACTTTAGAGATAAATAAAGGGATCCATGATGGATAAAATCAGCACACATCATCACAAATGACCAAAAATGTGGAACAGTTTTAAAGGCACCACTTCCTCAATTAAGTCTAATGTAATGATTTTTTTCCCTTAAATTTTAAAGTGTTACTCAATTATTTAGGCTTGCTATCATTGATCTAGCTTTTGCTATGTAAGCACAATGCAAACAGTGTCTCTCCAACTATTTAACCTAAAGTAACAGGTGTAAGTTGCCTTTGACTGATCAGCTCCTCCACTGTACTATAAGTTCTTAAGGAAACACTTACAGAATATAAGTAATTATTGAATAAAAGGATAAATTTAAAACTTTTAGATTTAAGGTAAAGTCCAAGTAGTATCCGTCTCGGTCTACTACACCCATTCATCCAATGCTACACATTGTTTTCTCTATCACCATTGTCAATTCCTTAAACCTGTAACATTCTCAACTCTCATGAGATTTCTTTTATCTGCAATATGTTTTAATTCATTAGGTATTAGCTTAAATGCTAGGTCCTAAAAGAAATATTTCTTGAAATTTCATTCCAATTTAACCCTCCATTTTGTCTCTCTTGGTGATCCAAATGTATGACTTTGAGCATTTATCACAATTTCCAGATTTATTAGCACTTGTGATTATGTGCTTACAGTAGATTTTCTTAATAAGTTTATGAGAACCATGGACATTGTCTGTTTTGTTCACTAATATGTATCCAGCCCTCACAACTATACCAGACTCTTGATAAAAAGTTCACACTTACAGTAAAAACTCCATATATTTGGACTGATATTAAATGTAGATAATATAATCAACATATTTGTGATTTTTTTATTACATAAACCCATATCTTTTTTGATAAAAATGTTTTTGTCTGTTTTCTCTTCATTTGGGAAATTTTAATTTCATGGAATAAGAATTTAATTCCTACTTGTCTAGCCCACCTGTTTTTTATAAGTATATAAACATTCCCCATTTTTTACAGGAAAAAAGTACTTTACAGAGCTGGATAATTCTTAGGGAATGTTCTATTGCCCTTCATTGTTTTAGCATATGATGTAGAAGAGTATATCCAAAACATATATATAATTCTGCGAGACCATAGCATTATGCACAACTAGTTTTCAACCTACTTTGTCTTATAAATTTAAGAATTTTTATGACTAAATATAATGTGAAAAATTTATGTCTCTAGAAAATACTTTTTACCATTTACTTTTGTTTTTACCACTTCTGCTTTTGAGAAAACGAGATTAATATAAAAATTAATAAAAATTATTTGAATATCCCCAAACTATTTTTGATGTATATTATTTATTGTAGTATAAGTTTAATATTTTTATTATTTAAAAAAAGTGTATACTTAAAAAAATAAATATAACTTGTCTCAAATTCATTTAAAGATGAAAGATGTATTAACTATAGTTTAGTTTTAGAACCCTAGAAAAATACTGTGCATGCCTCCTTTGTAAGTAGTAAAAATTATAAATTAAATATTATTAAATTGTCATTTCACTTAATTTTTGAGTATATAATAGGTAGAACTGTCAGCTAACTTGATTTAAATATATTTTATCTCTGCTCTGCAATTGCTAAAGTCTTTTTTTGGTAAGAAATCACAACTATAATTATAATTAATTAATAACATAATTTAAAGTAATGGACATTTAAAAGCAGGGAGAAGAGACTGAATTCTTATTTCTCTAAGATATTCTCTCAAGTTCTCCATGGAAAAATGACAACATGAAATTATCTGACCTATTTTATACTGCTTTTTATAATAGCAATTAGTAAATTTCATCTTGTGAAGCTATATAAAACTTAAACTACAGAAGAAAAATCAGAATTTTTTCATTACTGTAAGTTTTTGAATGGTTAGATAAGAATTACCTGAAAATTAGAGTACTACACTTTGCTATTGTTGCTATAAGATGGTTGTTGAAAATCTATATGGATTAATAAAATATTTTCAGTGAAAGATTAAATATTTCAGTGAAAGATTGATTTCTATAACATTTAATATTTAAAATAGTACAATCACATTAAAATAAATAGACATTTAAAATACACTCTTCATTTTGTCCTGACACTGCAAACATCACTTAAAATTTTCCAAAATTATAAGAAAGAGAAAAGGAGAGGAAACATTTCTTAAGTTAGTTTAAAAAGAGCTAAAATATTGTGTATTCTATTTAATTGATATTAAGAAATATTTTTAATAAAATACATATATGCCTTCAACAATATTATTTTATGGATTAATACCCTGTACGTTTCCAAGATTAAATCTAGGGAAAAGAAATCTTGACATAAATATTGCAAGATATAGCTACATGAACTATACAAAGAAAGTACATTCAACATTTTCTGGCTATTTAGAAATTAAAGCTGCTTTGTTGTGTTTACTAACTTCCTTTCGATTTTCTGTACTGGTTTAAAATGTCAAAAGGTTGTCAGAATTATACTAACACTTTTCAAAGAAAGAGTATAGAAGTTAATTAAATTTTTATTTTTAAGTATTTATAAAGCTTTCAGATCAAAATTTATCTTACTATGTGTATTGCATAGTAATATAAACCAGTAATATATAACCAGTCTCTAGGTGTGATTATAACATGTTAAGAAGTTTCATGAACAGGTTGCTTAACATCATCTGGCAAATTATATTACCATTTGTACTACCATTTTTCAGTGATAATTAAACCATAGATTTGTTTGCCAAAATCTATCAGGGAGGGTTGTATGTACTTTGTGGCATATGTATTTGAAATCCTTACTATTTTATTATTTACTTTATAGACATCTAATTTACTGTGAAAATAATCTCCTCTGAAATTAATTTACTTCCTCAGGTTAATCTCATGGCTTTTGGAGTTATCATATACAAGGTTTTTCGTCACACTGCAGGATTGAAACCAGAAGTTAGTTGTTATGAGAACATACGGTAAATGCTTCTTCAAGTCTGTTTTATTTAATAACTAAAAGTTTTAGTAACTTATAGTGCAAGTAACTTTAGGAAGGACTACTTTTTAATGATTCTATGTACTTTCTCCTACATATTTAAAATACTCTAAAATAACTTTTAATGTGTTAATTAAGACTTTATTACTGCATAATTAAATGGCAAGTAAAGCGATCTTTTCAAAATTATTCTCCTTCAAAAGAAAAGATGAAGACTACATTTCAAGGTAAAAGCAGGTCTTGGTGATTTTCTCCTGCAAAGTATTTCTCAGAACTTCAGTAACTATTTCTTTCTTGGATTCATAGTTTGCATGCTGTCGTGATTTTTCCCTCAACCTTTCCTTTTTAAAACTGATTTATTGAGACCTTGAAAATGATTTGTTCAGGAAAAACTGAAGTGTACTGTAGGGAACATTAGAAATAACTGAGGTTGGGGTTGCTTCGGCACACTCCTGCACTTTCAATACCTTGCACAGGATTTATAGTTAGGATTTGATCGATTACTTTCTTTGAGTTCTCACCATTCACAGTTTCACACAGTGCACCAGCTTTAATAAAGTCGAAAATGACTCATTTTCTGAGGTACGCTGCTAAAACATTTTCTGCAGCATAGACTGATTGGACAAAGAACGAATGAGAAAATAAGCACTAGCTGCCTCATGTTCAAGGTAATGTACTCAATGCACAGGATTGAATATTGTTTTACCAAAGAGTTATTATGGTCGTGCATTATTTTTATGAAATCACTATTTTCACTTGAATTTATTTGCAAAACAAGTACTGTGTGGCAAAATAAAAAAAAAGTCATCTTTTATATCTTACACTTTCTTCTCTACTAAAACCTTAGAGGAAAGCAGGAGCTTCCTTTGATGTTGTGTACTAGAGCTGACCCACGTCTACATAGCACACTTTTCAAGGTTGCTTCAGGAAAACACATCCTAACAGATGTAAGAATTACTACATTAGATTTGAAATCAAAGCATACAAATACTTAAGGAGATTCCTTGAAAAATACTATATTTTAATAATGCTCATTTGATGTGGGAAGCACATCCCTGCCATGGTATAGTAGCCTACCTCAAGAATACCCCTATGCAAGTGTACCACAATTTGTCAATTTCAAGAGATGTCTTGGTTATATCAAAATATTGTTTTCCATGTAATCTGAAGAATTTGTGACTATATTAAGTATACGTATGTTTCTTAATGGAAACTTCCAAATGTGTTATAGATCCTGTGCCAGAGGTGCACTTGCTCTCCTTTTTCTTCTCGGCACCACCTGGATCTTTGGTGTTCTGCATGTTGCACATGCGTCAGTGGTGACAGCCTACCTCTTCACCGTCAGCAATGCCTTCCAGGGCATGTTCATTTTCTTATTCCTATGTGTTTTATCTAGAAAGGTAAGCAGTTTTTTGTTTTTCTTGTTTCCCAACTTTTAGTTGTGTTTACGAAGCATCATTTACCAATTTGATAAAAATTCTTTTTCTCTTAGATTTGTGATTAATGCTTTTAATGCCTAGAGTACATCTTAGTACTGGAATAATGAGAATACATAATGTTCATAGGGAAATATGCTTTGAAAATTTTTTCTATTAGGGAAAGTCATCTAGCTTATATTCACAAAAGCATATTCTGACAGAAAGCAGTAATAATTTAGAAAACCAAATATAAAAATTGAATGTGTTTGGAAATAATTTCGTGTGCTTGTTGTAAATATATTTAATAGGCTTTCCTTTTCTTTCCTTTTTATAGATCCAAGAAGAATATTATAGATTGTTCAAAAATGTCCCATGTTGTTTTGGGTGTTTAAGGTAAACATAGAGAACAATGGGTAATTATCAATACACAAAATAAAAAGCAAAATTATGGATGGCCAATGTATACAAATGACTTGAACAAGTTGTCCAGTTATTGAGTATTATTTAATCAAAATTTTAATCAGTTTTGTGTTTACAGTGTAGAACTGTCATAATAAGAGGTAAAAATTGTTTACCATACAGCTATCATATGCTTTTCTACATGACATAAGTTAGTTATGTCAAAAATAGTATTGCAGATATTTGGAAAGTAATTGGTTTCTCAGGAGTGATATCACCATGCCCAAGGAAAAATTTTCTTTCTAACACACAAAAAAATATATATATGAATGTCCTGAAGGAAACCACTGGCTTGATATTTTTGTGACTCATGCTGCCTTTGAAACTAGTCCCCTATCACCTTGGTAATGAGCTTTGTTACAGAAAGTGGAACATAAGAGAATGAAGGGGCAGAATATAAAACAGTAGAAAGGGAGTAGCTGTTACAATGATGAGAAGTATTTTGAGTAAACTTGTTTCTTTGTAAAGTAGATGGGGATTTATAGAGATAGAATAAAGAATTGAATAAGCACATCTTACTATTTTGTGAATTTTTCTGAAATTAAACATCTCCTAATACAATTTAGACCTATATTTGTTATATCTATTTGTCTTCCAATATTCTTTTAACAAAACTCAAAACTTCATGAGTGAGAAAGAAGTATTTCTGATCTGTTCTTAGCTTAACATTAAAATGAGGTGTATGTTGTTTCTATACTTATCTCACAGACTGTGTCTTCAGATGTTTAATCAGTAATATACAAATGTGTCAAAATATAATATTGTTCATGCCTGTAAATGTAAAAATAGTGTATATAAATATTCCATTCTGCAGCTTTCAGTGTAGCGAAAAATGTTGTATCTCATTAAACTAGTATATTTGAGTTTTTTTATCTTTATTAGTTTTAGAAAGATTATAGTTCATATTACAACATTCCTTTTTAACTTACTATTTTTAAAAGACATTGTAAATATGAAAGTATTGTAAGATGAATTACTAGTTTTTCTGTTCAGAAAAGTACATTCTTTTAAAATGCTATTTATAACAAATCACTGTTAACTTTAGTATCTTCCTGACAGTTTTCTAGTATCTATTGAATATTAAATCTCATCTGCTTAATACTATAGTATCTATCCTGAAATCTTCTGACTAAAAGGTAAAAGCAGTGATTTTTATTTCAAAAATGTGTAATTGTTCTTCACATACCTTAGAAAGTATGTCAATTCACTAAATATTGTGATTTTTTAATTAATTTCCTGGTTGAAGTCTGTCAAATCTTGATTTAACAAATAAAATGTTATCTAAATGAATTCTGCCACTGCTTTGCCAAGCTGTTTTCTCGAGAATGATGAACTGCCTGCCAATATGTCTTACACATTTTTAAAGGATTCAGAATAATAACATTTCATGTTATCTTCTGATCTCTTACATGGTAAGCCTATGACCAATTATTGTCATCATTATTGGACAGTATTATAAAAATGTGATATTGAAAAAATAATTTGTCCAATCAATATATACAAAATTATATGTTGTATTCAGAATTGTGACCCTATAAAAATGCCTACACCCTAATCTTCAAAACCTGTGAATATGTTTGCTAACGAAGAGGAGAGTTAAGGTTGTTAATCATTTGACCTTGACATGAGGTCATTATCTAATTATAATTGAAGGTTCCTTATGAGTGAAAGAAGGAATCAAAGAGGGAGTAAAAGAAGGAGTGTGTCTGAGCAATGCAATACAATGCAATGCAGTATGAGTCATACTCAACCAGCTAATGCTGGTTTTGAATAAGCCAAGGAATGTAGGCAGCCTCTAGAAGCTAAAAAAGACATGGAAATAGATTATCGATTAAAACAAATTTAGTCCTGTTGTCACCTATGTTTCTGCCAAAGAAGGTTCTTTTAACTTCCAGAAATACAAAATAATAAATGTATCATTTGTCACAAGATTATTGATAAATTTTGTATGATTTGTTACAACCAAAGTGACCTAATAGTATAGAAATATGTGTATAATAACCTCTTTAAGGAAAAGCAACTGCTCATATTAAGGCAAACTTCAATCCCAGTGTCTTGCTTTCATTAACTGTCAATAGATATTACTGAATAAATCCTATGTTCTATATATTTCAGTTCTTCTCATATCTGCTTACCTCACCAGTTTTCACTTTGCTCTGAGTAAAGTTTCTTCAGCCATACCAAATATTTTTGACTTTCCAAAATTCACCATAGTTTACAAAATTCCTTATTTCTGGAATTCCCTCCTTGTTACCCGCATTAGTCTGACAAATATCTACTTAACCCTAATGTTTCTTTCTCTATGAAGTCTTCCTTGATTCACACAAGGAATTAACCACTTCTACCTTTGTGTCAACATCTCATTTATTACTCATTTGTCCTAACACTTACTACATTGTGTTATCATCATTTAGCCTAAGCTCAGGACATGTGTGATACTAATTCCCCCCCCCTTTAATTAGATAACTTTTCACTTTTTGCTTCCTGAATCAATGTTACTGCCTCCTGCTGCCTGGTGATCACATAACTAATGAGCTTGGAGGGACCAGACCACTTGAACAGTTTGGCTTTCACACTACTTATCTCTTACTGGAAGCCAACTTTCACAGGTAAATCCGCCATGATCATTTCTGCCTGTCACCCAGTTATGCATTATAATACATTGATATCAAGTGGGTTAAGTCCTAGCAGAGCAATTATAGGTTCCCTCTGTAGCTTGGATTTGTAATATGGTTTTATCTCAGTTCTTCATGGAAGGATCTTTGGGGGTTTGTAGGGAGCATCCCAAACTAGTAGTACTTTAAGATTAGAAAACAATTAGTGGTTGGATCAGAAACAAGAACCACAAGGACAGATTAGCAAACAAGGTACCTGTAGCCTCAATAACAAAAATATGAAGGACATATTAGCAAGCAATTAGCAGGTGGACTCAAAAACAAAACCCCTGGAAGGACAGATTACAAACTATTGGTGGATGGCCATAATAACAAAAAATAATTAATAAAATAGTGCTTTGTTTTTCATTTAGGTGTTATTCATTTAATAATCAGTGAGTTAAATATTAGCATTTAACACAATCTCTTTAAATTCTAAAATGTGTCAGAAATGTATCAATAAATATTAACTAAAATGCTTCAAAAGTTGAAAGCATGAATGGACACCAAGGAAGTATAATATCAATTTCCTAATGCAGCTAACAACTAGTTATTAATTAGAGATGTAATAATCCCCTATTAAAAAGTAGCTGTTTAATTGATTAAATATTGACATACAGCTAGTAGGAAAAAAAGTAAGTCAAAATAAATGCTACACAATCTGCATACTAGATGTAACCAAGAACCTTGCATATTAATTTCATGATGACACCATTTATTCAGCCTCCTTCAGTTCATTGTCACCCTCCCAAAATTAAGCAATAACTTCATTTCCTAATTTTCTATATAGTCAGGCCTTTTGCTCATATTTTCGATGTCATATAAAATGTGAACCTTTTTATGTAACATTTTTATGAAACATTTTTCTCCAGTTTCTCCAATAAGAAATATGTGATGAAAGCATGAATACAGATTCTGTATTGATCAAGGAAGAATACCTATTATTCAGATCTTTCTTCTATCTGAAATGTCTTTGTCCATGCAAATTCTATTCAGCATTTATGACTGTTCTCTATGAAGTCTGTGATCAATTTTCTCCTTATTAATTTCCCCCAGTCGCTATAACAATAGCACTTATGATTGTACAATGTAACATAACACTTAGTAGGGGTCATTATGAAGTTATTTTGCAGTGTTTGAACTTTAAAATTCTCATATTTAGGTTATAGCTATAGACAAATAACTTAGAGATGGCATATAAAGCAAAAAAAAAATTTGTTCTTGAAAGTTGATTCAGATTTCAATAGTTAAATTGCATGTTCATGTTTAATTCTTACAGCAACAATGCAATTCTGTCTTCATTTTTAGTGTGAAAAGTACTCACTGTCACGCAATTAGGGAATTGCAAAATTAGTACTCAAAGCTGAAAGCTTCAGCTCCTTCCACTCCACTCTCTCATGCAAGTTATTAGGACACCTTGCTCAGATTCAGTAATTTTAAGTGACTGTATACCAAAAAAAAAAATCTGCCCAAAAGTCCAGGGCATTTTCCACTATAAATTCATATACTATAAGGACAACACCCACTTATAATTGTTTTCTTGGGATTGAAAGAAATCCAACATACTTTTTTTTAATATGGCATTTTAACATTTTTCTATGTGAATATTCAATTTGAAATAGATTTATTTCATATCTTGTAAGGTGAAGTGATTTTCTTGCTTAACTACCCCTTTCTTCATTTATTTCTCCTCCTTGTGTTATTAATTCAAGTTCTCAACCAAGAAATGCAGTTTAATTACTTTGTATATATTCTATTTTTTTCTATTTATATCATATTCAAATCATTAATATGATGACACACTATAAACTTATCTCTGTTACCCTTTTTTTTTTTCATCAGTTGGAAAGTTAATAGACATGCCCATTCTTTTTATTGACTGAATAATATTCCACATTGAGGATGGACTGTAAACTGCACAGCTGGTATGAAATATGGATTAATGAAATGCTATATTAATAGATGCAATATCTTTCAGAAATGTCATCCATGATATGTGATTTGATTTGTTGCTGAAAATACCAAATGCTGTCAGTTTTGTTGTGTTTTTTCCTAGGAGGAATGTGGACCTACTATGGTGAGTCAAAACACCATACCCTTTCTTTGAGATATAGGTTGCTTATTACTTCTTGGAGGTATCCAAAAAAAATCATACCATGGATTTGAGATCCATAAAGCTCCTTGGCATTTTTATTTAAGTGAAAGGATTTGAACTATTTACCCTAGATTGAAGGCTTGAGCAAGCATTACGATCAGTAGGCAATCTGAAAGCACTGAACATTTCACCGGTATTTCATTCAGATGTTACACATCATAGGCTTGTAGAGTAGTTATGATTAATATAAAATGAGAGGGTTAGTTTAGCTGCAAGGGTCTCTTCTGGTGCCAACATACCATGATTCTAATTCCAACCACTACTTTAAGGTACTGTAAATAATAAAAATCTATAAAGTATATTACAATTTTATGTACTCAAAAATAAGGGAAAAAATAATAGGTTTCTTTCAAAATTGTACTTAAGAAATGCAGTTTCATTTCCTAGTGGGCTGCAATTTGCCATATATCAGTATCCAAGGGCCAGGCTGCTCAACCTGAAAATGATTATTTTCTTTCTTTTCCTTAACATATCAGAAGTAGATCCGGAAGAACCTCCAGTATGCAAGGGGGGTTAATTATCCTGCCATTCAGTTAAGCTTTCAAAGTTTTAGGTGATAAGAACAGAACCCTAAAACAGATTCCCTGCGACTGCTGCCCGCTGTGAAGAAAAAAACCACATGCAGCCTCTGCTGCAAATATTGTTCAAATTACCCTAAAATTCTCTTGGTTTTCAGTACATCCTGGCTCCTGGAGAGCAGCACTGTTCCACTGGGGTCATTTATTCTGTCACTTCAACCCACTTGGCAATCATGACAAGTCTATCTTTCACTCAATCTAGGGCAAGAGGCTTTTCTGCAGGATTACGTGACCCAAGTGAGGGAAGTAATTATTCAAAACAACATCACTTCTATTACTCAAGTGCTGCCAATTCCTCTGTAGAACCACCTAACTGCTCCCCAATTTGATCTTCCCTCTCAGATCAGTTTCTCAGATTCTCCTGAAGGATGATGTAAATAAACCTCGCTCACATCCTAGCAATGTTGTGGATACAAGTGCAGACTCTG